AGATACATGATCCCAACTGGTCATAGGTCAGAAGTATTTCTGGCCTTTACACTGACATTATACTTTCATACTGAAACATTACTCAACGACAGTGTTGCTGTGTCAGCTCTATCTAGGCAAAGGTGACCTGCGTCTCCAGTACACTGTGGGCAGCTCAAGAAGTCTTCCAGTCTAGGAGATTCAAATACTATGTCTTTCCCTGGTAATACAGCTGCGTACCATCATCCTCCCATCTTCCAGGCTGCATCCTCACGGTGCTCAAACACCCACCCACAATCTTACACCCCTCTGTGGCCCCAGCCCTGGGCAGCAAAAGGGCTACCTTGAGCTCCACAGAGGAACAGTCCCCGACTGTCATCATTGTCATCAGTCACCCAACGTGAGACAAGAGCGTTGGCGTGCAGCTGCAAGTCAAGATAAATTGTCAAGTTATTCAACACTTCAAGCTCTTTGAAGACATCTACTCTTCCTTCATATCTGTAGTTGATTGAGCCATACCAATTACCTTTTTATTCCAATTTTAGTTGAGTGTTTTGATACTGTGTTTCTCTCAAGCCATAAGCAAATTGCCTGTGTCAAACCCAGTTATCGCAAATAGTCCAACCACAATGATCAAGACAGCAAAAAGCACAGGGGAAATATCAGCAGTAGAAAAGAGATTGTTTTTGTTTTTAAAGGTTTATTCACCAGAAATGAGTGACTTGAAACTGAAAAGCATTTTTGATCACTCCTCCCTGACTTTCACTTCAATGACATTTTAATGAACACTTTCTAACAAGCTCTACTTACGTAAAGTTGCAAATGAACGTGGGAGAGTATTGAAGAAAGGTAATGGGGGGGGGGAAGAGAAAACTCTATCATGCATTTTATTTCTTAGATGCCTCTGAGAAAATGAATAATAATTCATCTGGGGAAAAGTGATCCAGCAACAATTCAATTGGTAAAAGACATCTGGAAAGGAGTAATAAGTAGAGAGAAAGAGCCTGAAGTATGATAGGAGGACATGAAAAATACAATGAGGTCTAGAAGCCAATTAGGTTACTTTGGAATTCTGCAAAGGTTAAGGTAGCATGTTCACATCTGTCCCAAGTACTTTAGCCCCAGAGAGCTAACAATAAACTGCCAGAAAAAAATTTATAGAAGAGCAGTAAATGTGATTGTGGGACTGGATGGAGCCATATGAAGTGAGATTTCTACCCTGATAACTGACATTATGAAAATACCTTCTTTGATAACAGGTTTAATATGGTTCACGGTTCATTATTTCTGTTTTTATTGACAGGCTGGACCAAATTCTGAAACCTTACAGTAGAACCACAACCAGACCTATGAGGGCCTATTAAAAGTGGGGGGGAAAATCCAATATAAACAAGCAGACTGTTAATTCATCTAGCATGGCAGAAGTTTCAGTGAGAATATGACAAACAAATAAATTAGGCTGTATAATTTTACTCAGCAGAATAAGGAGTAAAATAATCATCCAGTGCTACTGAGATTCTAAAAGCTACCCAGAGGATGCAAAAACATCTAACACCATCAGGCAGCAACGGGAATACCAATTGAATATGCTTATTCTTCTTCCTACCATAAATTAACAGAACTTTTTCCAGTGTCTTGTAACCAAGCTTTTAATCCAAGAAAAAGCAGGACCAAGAAGGTTCCCAAAATGGCAGTCATATGCCACTGGTGGAAGGACTCACGTACCACTTTTCCTGTGGTAGGTTTACCATAGTTTAAGAATCCCTAGGTTAGTAGAAAAAGTAGTCTACTTAGTACTGCACACTACAATTCTAGAGACTCTGCAACCAGCAGAGAAACTACAGAGCAGCTGTAGTAGAAGAGATGAAAATTTCACCCACCAAGTGTTAGCAGCAAGTAGACTTTATTTTTAATCTTCTTATGACAACTGTTATTCTGTAAAAGCCAAATTTAAGAAAATGATGCTCAAATGAAGATTTCATCATCACAATCCCAAACATACCAATGCCAAAGATTTGAGATTTTGGCAGGTTTGCTCACGCCTAAAAACAGGCCATCTCTTCAGAGAGGGGGCCACAAATGATAGAGGAGACAAGTTTCAGAGGGAAGGTATGTTGAGGTGACACATGTCATGTCACCCCCGCACCCAACTGCGGGGTGCAGAAGCACCGCTCCTGCGGTGACAGCAGGGATACCACAACAGAACAGCCCACCTCTTCGGCGACAGGACAACATTACTGCATCGCCACCATCCTGCAAGTTACCTCGGACGGACAGACAGACCGACCGACCCCTACCCTGGTGCAAATCACCACTGCTATTCCAAATTTCACTCGCACGTAGGTGAGCCGTAGCATACACCAGCCACTACGGCAAGCACCAAAGACTGATGTGCCCCTGCTCGGAGCCCCAGCCTCTGTCAGAAGTTTTGTTGCTACGATCCCCAATGAGCAACAGCCGGCTGGCACCCCCCGCCACCACCACCTTACCACAGGAGAGAGAAACCGCAGGGCTCTACCCAGGGCTCATGCACCCTCTAAAAAGCGTACAAGGCTGACACTACACAAAAGGGCCTTGTCCATAGCGGGAAGAATTACATGCCTTCCAGCAGCAGTATCAGCTGTACTGGATGTATGCAAATAGCACCAATGACAAATACAAATTACAAATTGGCACCACTGATGGTGAAGCAACTTTTTTTTTTTTTTTTTTTTTTTTGAACATACTCAAAAACTGTATGAAAGAAGCTTTCCGGTAGTCCTTGACAGTAACTTTAGCGCATTTCCCAGAAAAGTTTAAATACATATTTGGCTCTAAAGCCTGCCCCCAGTACCTTTTTCATTTGCGCAGCGTGGTATGTGCACACATGAAGGGAAAGCAGAGGACAGATGGCTAAATCTATGCATATTTACCAAGGTATGAATACCACGTTAAAATCATAAGCACTAGGCCAAGTCACATGTTTAAAATTAATTACACTTCCGCTACTACCTACAAGTCCACACTGCTTTAAAAATCTACAAGTCTGAACAAGATACGTCAGTGTGACATGATCGCTTAAGTATATTAATCCCACATGGATCTCCTCTGCAGCTGAATTAAAGGCACACAAGTTGTTCCCTGCTACTGTTCAAATACATATTCAGCAACATTAGTGCTGCCTGTTTCCCTCCCAGCAGAAATGCAAATGCGCCTAGAAGAAACAGAAAACTAAACATCTGGAAACAGAAGCCTATAGGCAACGTCCTCATGGCTCAAAAAAATGTGTATATATTCCATGTATACATAGATAAATACACATATATGTACACACAAGGAATAAATATATAGGGCTCCCGCACAAAACTAGTAGCAAGAAAAACATTTAATTTGTGACAGTTTTTCCCTTCAGTCACCACTCACTGGTCGCAATTCCCCCCCCCCCCCGCCCCAAACCTGCCCAGCGTTAGTGACTGCTGACCACAGCGAGCCCCCGGCCACAGCGCTGAAGCCGGGGGGGGTGGGGGGGGGGCTAAGGGGCATGGGGGGGGGATGCGATTTGGAGGAAGCCAGGCGGGCGGCCCCGGCCCCACGGAGCCCTTTTCCTTTCCCTCCCAGAAGTAAGAAAAACTTAACGACTCCCGCTCGCCGCTGCCGCCCGCAAGCACACCGTGCCAAACGCTGAGTTAACAGAACCATAAATCACCGCCGAGCCCGATGCGGCGGGCGGGCGGGCGGGCAGCAGCGGCCGTCCCGTCCCACGCCGCGGCGGCTCCCCCCCCGCCGCAAAACCGAGGGGACACGGGGGGGGGGGGGGGGGGGGGCACCCAAACAAGTGCCTGCCTGGTTCGGGGCGGCGGCAGGCGGAGAGGCCGAGGCGGGCTCGGGGGCCGCCCGCCCAGGTGCGGCGGGGACGGGCGCGGCCCCAGGGGCCGCTCCCCGCGCAGGGAACCGCCGCCGGGCTGCCCCCCCCCCCCCGCCCCCGGGCCGCCGGCACCGCTCCTCCCCGGGGCGGCGGAGAAACCGAACTCCCGCCGCCGCAACGTGTCCCCCGCGGCGCGGCCCGTTCCCCTAAAAGCACACGGGACCCGCTGCGTGTCATCCCCCCCCTTCGCCCCCTCGCCGTGGCCCCGCAGCCGCGGGGTGAGGCTGGCGGCGGCGCGGGCGGTTGCCTTACCTCAGAGCGGGGCGCGGAGGTGGCGGGGACGTGGGGGGGGGGGGGGGGGGGGGAAGGGGGAAGGACACCCGTTTCTCCCACCGGGGCGGAGGCGGCTCCACGCAGCGGCTTGTCACCTCTCCCGCCGCGACGGCGGCGGCTGCTCGCGTAGGGGCGGTGCGGCCCCTCCCTGCCGGGGCCGAGCGCCGCGCCGCACCGCCCCGGGGCCGGGCCGGGGCCGCCCGCCTCCCCCCCCCGCACCGCCCCGGGGCCGGGCCGGGGCCGCCCGCCTCCCCCCCCCCGCACCGCCCCGGGGCCGGGCCGGGGCCGCCCGCCTCCCCCCCCCGCACCGCCCCGGGGCCGGGCCGGGGCCGCCCGCCTCCCCCCCCCGCACCGCCCCGGGGCCGCCCGCCTCCCCCCCCCGCACCGCTCCGAGGCCGCGGCCACCCCCCCACACACCTCCACCCCACGGCGCTTTGCCTCAGCGTTTCCTCCGCAAAGCAGCGGTGACGGGTGGCGGGGGGGTGTGCTGCAGAGGGGCCAAAATACGCAGTTTGGGATGTGTGGTTCGGATTTTTTTTTTTTTTTTTTTTTTTTTTGGTGGGTTTTTTTGTTTGTTTGTTTGTTTTCCGCCGGAGCCATGGACTGGCAACCCGTCGCTGTAGGCGATTTTCTGGAGGAAGCGAGCGCGTGGTTTGGCTCCCAGAGCTGATTTTCCCGCAGATTCTGACCCGAATTCGCGAACAGTTTCTGTTGCCCTGAAGGGACGTTCGCAGGCGAAAAGGCGCTCCCCGCCCCCCCCCCCCCCCCCCCCCCCCCGCCCGCAGCGGCCGGCGCAGGCCCCGCGGCACCCCCCGCCCGCGCTCCCGGCAGCAAGGGCCGGCACCTTGCCCTAAAAAACGCGGGATGCCCCCAGTCAGCGGGGCCGGGGGCGGGGGGGAGCCGCAAGGATTTTCGCCTCCTGCCCGTCAAACAGCGCTGGTGCTCTGCCAGGTGAGGCTGGAGGTGGGGTTCGGCGGGGGGGGGGGCTGCCCATTCGGGCCGTGCACCACTGGTTCCCCGCTCCCGATCTCCGCTAAACCCTGCTCTGTGGGCTGGGGGGGCTGAAGCCTCGTCTGCCGAACCCCACAAATTGGTTTCCAGGCAGTTTGTGTCCCTGAGCCGGCGCGCCGCAAAGTCGGGCAAGAGGGAGGGAGCGGAGTGAGGCGGCGGCTGCCCCACGCTCGGTGCATCGAAACGGCTGCAGGATCAGAATGTGTCTGTCTGTAGGGAGGGGGATAAATCAGAAACCTTCTGCACTTCGGTTTCAGCTGAATTCCTTCAGTCCGTTGCTGACGTCTTCTGCCAGAGTCAGCAAGCGAACTTTCAGATTTCTGCTACCGCAAAATGTGTTAGGTTTTGAGAAAGGGAACCTTTCGACTCGGCCACCTCCATTAGCGCTCGGAGGCTGAGAAAGAGAAAGAAACCCCTCCCCCGCCCTTAAAAAAAAAAAAAAAAAAAAAAAAAGTAATGTTCAGAGTGATGAATTAATATTTTCAGGCTAATTGGAAACCAGTTCTAACCAGTCTGTTCAAGGAGACACCGTGGATGAAGGTGTTTGAATATAACCAATGAGAAAAAGTATGTTAACATTGCTCTACTTTGAAAGGGAAAATATAGTAAATGGAAGAAATACGAAGCCCAGCCAGACTACAGCTGAGCATGCCAGCAGGTACAGTAAACGCACTCCCTCAGTTGGAAGGAGGAGAGAATGGCTTAGAAAATGGGGGGGGGGGGGGAGATAGGGTGCAGAAATAAAAAAAAAATCATGTGGCTGCTGCTGCTCCAGTTTAACCCACTGCTGAAGATGGTAGTCCCCAGGTGACCAGGAGCAGCAACATCAACATCTCTACCCGTTCCTTCCCTCTGTTTGTACAATTTTGGTCCTGGTGAATGGCAGTTCTGTGAAGGAAAATAAGTGAGATGGTATTTTTTTTTCCCCAGCACATTGTTTTTTAATCATCTTTAAATGAGAGAAGGCAGAACTGTAAAAGACATTGTCAAATATGCAGAAAGCCTCAGCAGGACGTTCCATCAATAAGACTTTAGTACACAGCTGATATCATAAAACACAGGATCTCTTGAGGCCTTCTATTAGACATCTTCTCACAGTGAAGGAGAATTAAATATATTTCAGGCTGAATCCAACATGTTTTTTCACCCTGCTTTTAAAAACCTCAAGTGAAACGCCTATTCTCTTCAGGCAAGTTACTGTGCACAAGCCCCTCTTCCTGCAAATTAACCTGATTAAATTTTGTCTTCCTCTTGTGAGTGTGGAAGACTGCTGTTACCCTATTTGCGACAGTCTTTTACCTATACGTTTAAAGCTATCATGAACTACATTTTCCTTTCAGACTTCTCTTTTTGATTCAAATTGCCATGTTTTCCCAAACTTTTATCATCCTTGTTGCTCTCCTCTAGACACCTGAATGTAATGTCCACAACAGGACACGTGGACCAGCCAAGCCTCATCAGTAATGAAGAAAGTAGAATAATTAATGGTGACTTACATACAGCATATTTGCCAATAAATCCCTCAATGAGATTTGTTCCTGTTGCAATGGCAACTTCACGTTGACTCATGGAGTAGAGGGTCAGTGCCAACTTCTTCACCAGTTATTCCCTGTTTGCATTTCGTGCCTTCCTAAGTGCCTACCCAGTGCTTGCCCTCATCTTGTTCATTTTGTATAGTCTCCACCAATGGAGAGTATTTTTCAGTAGCAATACTTTATCAGCACACATTCTGAAGTGGCTTATTTATATTAGAGCATGGGTCATTAATTTTGCATTTTTCTTTAACAAATAATTTCTAAATCAGTTTAATGAGGCTTAATCAATATTATCTTCCTCTGAAAGGTGCACCCTAGAAAATTGCTGAGAAAGCAAGACAAAGTGAAATACCATTAACTCTTTGATATTTGCAGGGTGTTTTTTGTCTTATTTTTATTATTTTTACTAAGAACATGCCACAAAGGCTGAAGGTATCTTACCATTAAGACAAAGTGTATGAATAGGGCCATTCTTATTTTACAAAATGACAAAGTGATATTCAGAAATTTTGTGTAGACTTAAAGCCAGTCTGTCACGTCTATTAAGAGAGCATGAGATCCATTCTTCTGGCCTCCTCTCTCCGCTCCCCTGCTGCACTGCTGGCACCTCAGGGGCTTGCCCTGAGGCCACCAGCCACGTCCCTTGCCTGGAGTCCAGGAGTGTCACACCAGCTACCCTGCAGAAGGTGCCAGCAGACACCCGTTTTCCACCAGCAGCCATCCCCCACCCAGTGGTGCCCTCATGTGTCTCCACACGTGAATTTCAAACATTGGGATTCCAGGAATTTGTTCCAACTTTTATGGGACACTAGACGTGTGGCGTATGCAGTCTGTATGCTGTGCAGCCCTTTACTCAGGAATCTTAACTCAATTTGGGAATTTCATAGGAGGGAATCTGTATGGAGTGAAATAACTTGAGCCCATAAGCCATGCTTTTAATCGAATAATAGTAGGTACCAAGAAAATCCAACAACCTCGTTTAAATCATGGCAAACTCCTAAATTCAGGCATGAATTCTCTTTGCCCCTTAATTTTTAAGGCTACCAGTAAAAAGAAACTGTACAAAAGACCTCTTTTAGCCTCTATATTTACATGCTGCAGCAAGGGAAAACTGTCATGCTTTCACTGATGTTATGCCTGTCTACCCAATTGAGATTAATTTGTTGTTTCAAAGGCAGTCAAGTTAGTTCAACCCTATCTCATTTTTTTAAAGAACAGAAAAATTCATCTGAGTATGAAGTTTTCCTATATGTGGGCACCTATATGTACATGCAGAGGCCATTAGGATTCATCGCCAGTGCAACAGTTAATTATTTTCTTTCCTTTTTTTATCTTTTATATATATACAGTAAGGAGAAAACATGAAACAACCTATGAACCCATGCAAGTTAACTGAACAAGTGTTTTATTATTTAATGGTGGAGCATCATTCTTCCATAAACAATTCACCCAAAGTTTGTTCAGTGCCATCATCCAAGGAAACTAATTCTGCAAGCTGCTTCTTCTGCACTAGTTTTACAAAACCTTTTTTCATATATGCAGCATTACATTTGTTCATACGACAATTGGGGCATCTGCCCCACCTGATCAGGATGCTTTTTGGAAATAATATTTCAAACAGTTCATTAGGAAGTTTCACAGACCTTCATTATTTCAGCACTTAAGGCCATAGTGGATCAATAGATTACAGACACCATGTGTCACGTGCTATTAAATTTTCTCAAGACACAGACACAGAGAGCCAGCCCAATGACTTTGTTACTCATCTTCAGCAGTCACAGAAGAAGCAATTTTATCCCACAGCAGACTGAGCTCTGCGTGCTGTACTCGAAGAAAAGGCAAATCTAAGATTGGCCAAGGGCCTGGTAAGGGGCTGGCTTCTTTAATCTGCAATGGTGCTGTATCTCCAGATGATCCTAAGAGAAAACCCATGTCCTGTGCTCCACAGGAAGACAGGATCTCCCTGACTTGGAAGCAAAGTCTTTCCCATTTATAAATTTGTTGAACACTTTGACACTTTGTTCACTGTGTGAAAAAGCTGTAGCAGACAAGCATCTGAGAAAGAAGATTCTCCATATGACTTCAGAAAATGAGTTTGTCCTGGTTTCGGCTGGGATAGAGCTCTTTTTTTTTTTTTTTTTTTTTTTTTTTTACTCTTTAGTAGCTAGAATAGTGCTGTGTTTCGGATTCAGTATGGGATTTGGTATGAGAAGAATGTTGATAACGTACTGATGTTTTCAGTTGTTGCTGAGAGATCAAGGTCTTTTCAACTCCTCATGTCCTGCTAGTGTGCAGGTGCACAAGAAGCTGGGAGGGAGCAGAGCCAGAGCAAAGGACTCAAACTGGCCACCGGAATATTCCATATTATATAACGTCATACTAGATATATAGGTTGACAAGGAAGCTCACTCTGGCTTCCAAGATTGTGGTTTCAGTGTTCTCTCTTCACTGGGATCAATAGCTGGGAACGAGCTAGGCACCGGTCAGCAGGTGGTGAGCAATCACATTGTGCATTACTCGTTTGTATTTTCTATTATTACTATTATCATTATTATTATTTAAAATTCATTTTATTTCAATTATGAAATTGTTTTTATCCGAACCTATGAGTCTCCTTACCTTTATTCCTCCAACTCTCCCCCCGATTCCCTGGGGGTGGGGGAGGGTGAGCAAGCTGCTGTGTGGCATTTGGCTGCCGGCCGGGTTTAAACCACGACAGAGTGCTTTCCCACTGATGTTCCAGCTCTAGGAGAGACTAATTTCCAGTGTGCCAGAGGGAGATAACCCTCTACCCACAAAATACAATTGGGCTTTTGTGCATCAGAGAGGAGCCTTTCCTTACTGTGACAGCCAACCAGCTGAAGTCCAGACATGCAAGATTTTAATACATTCATTGTCTTAATGAAGAGCTGCAAATGTAATGAACATGCTCAGGGACATACAGTGCTCATATCCTTCAGTAGGACTGCAGAGGAACATCTCTATACTACTACGTATGCCTCTTCTCTGGCCCTATGGCCAAGTGACACAGTCTGTGTTGCATGCACGTGGCTAAACTTTCTTCTACACCCAATAAAGCTGGCCACATTTGTGCTGCCTGGTGTGCACACTTATTCCCTGATCTTAGGGGATGGTGGTGTCTGTTTGCATGTTCAGTATTGTCTGAAAGCGCGTTAGCTGTCGTGTAGCTATACCATGGGCTAGGTAGTCATTAAACAGTACAGATCAATGCAAATTGCCAGTGCTGAGCCCATACTTTTGCCCTGTGCAGTTTACTTGTATACACGTAACCTAATAGAGTCCTCAACCGAAAGAAACCTGCAGCACTATGACTATCTATCCTAAAACTATATGTGTAGAGGAGAATTATGGTTAGATTTTTACCCACTCAGTAAACGTGAGTAC